CCGCTCTTGAGGGGAGGCGGGGTTTGGATGAAGAAAATAATTCGAAAATAAATCATATAATTCAAATAATAGTACATTATACAGGATGAGTGGGGAGAATCACGCCAAACTCCAGGGATGAATTCTAGACGTCAAAATAATAAGAAAAATCTCAAATGTTGTTATGCGATTTTCATTTGTTTTCAAACCATGACGTGCATTGAATAAAAAACATTAATTTATTAATATTCAATTGATCACAGCGTTCTTTGATTAAATGTTCAAACCACTACTGACAACTAAACACTTTCTGCTTCGTCTACGAAGGGCATCTGTAGCTCTCCAGATTGCTGCATGTCTTTCTTTAATAAGTGCTGCACTATTGATGATACACGTTCACTCCAACTTTATGCACTTCATTTTTAAACCAGCCCCATAAACAATAATCTAGTGCTGTGAGGTCTGGAGATCTCGGAGGCCAACTAATAGGACTACCGCGGCCAATCCAACGCCCTGGAAACCTCTCGTTCAAATGTAGCCTGACTGGACGAGTGAAATGTGCATGAACTCCTTAGCGCTGGTAGTAGTGGCGGCTCTTACACATGGTCACTCCCCTCTAATCCCCACCACAGTGAGGCCAGAAATTCTTTGTTTGTAAGCGCGTCAACTTGCCTACAATATGCTACAGTTCCCCCTCCACGCGAGGCGGTTAAAATAACGTGATTTAGGAGGGAGCTGAGGCCGGTTCAAAGCTGCTTCTACTTGTCTTGTAGCTTCAGTTCGCGGTTAATGTACGCGTCGCATAGTACGCGGGTAGTAAAGTTCTGATATTATAAATAATATAATTTTTTAATTTACGTTTATAGTAGGGCTATTGGCGAAAATCTCCACAATAAAAAATGACGTGGAAATTTATTCCTATTTATTATTTCAGAGCGGATTTTATTTTTTATAAAATCTGAATGAAAATCCTGCTTGTGAACATCAGTTTTTCTATAATATTGTAAGTGCAACTAAAAATTTCCAGATACATTTAGTCGTTTGACCTTGAAAGTTTAAACATTTTTGCCTGCGGTTTTTTCCCTTCTTGCCCAGCTAGTAAAAAAGCCACGGGCCTCATCTATTCACAGTCACGAGCCGCCACTGGCTGGTAGTACATTCGCATTCCTATCTAGTAATTGTAATTCATTTTGTGTGAGTCGATTGAGACAGCTGCAGGACAGTGGAAGTAAACGGTCGACATACGCGCATGCGCATTGAGACATATTCCGGTTTATTCTAGAAAATTTTAAGTTAGAACCTCAGTGAATCCTAATTTCCTAAAAATAACTGAATGAATTTCAAGGAAGCGCATTTAGCAACCGAGCAAAGCAACTCATTTGAGACAAATCAATAAAATGAAATAAAATATAGTTCTAAATGCTGTTAAATAGATACAAGACACTTTTTTTATTACGGTAGAAAACACGTTTCTGCAAAACGCATTGAGTTATGACAAAATGAAACTTTTGTTGTCCTTGCAAATATTTTACTAACAGTAGCTAAAATATCCAAAGCAATGACAAATGATTTCTTTCAGTGTTGTTAGTTTTTGACCATCTGATAGATGTCGCAAGTAACGATATTTCCCAGTGGCATTTATGTTCTTCTTTTATTTGAATATTCTGTAATTATATAATTCTTATCTATATTCTGTATAAGTATTCTGATTGGCTGTAGCCAGTATAAAAATAAGGTGATATTAATGTAGTTTTTTCTGTTTACAAGCTTTGATTTTCAACTTCGCATTGTCCACACAAACTGTTTTTAGTAGTAAAGTAGTACTCTTTTTAATAGTAGTTGAGTTGTAAGAAAAAAAATGTAATGCCGAACTACGTACTTTTAAGGAGCTTTCTGCCGCAAATTATATAACTGTCACACAAAAACTAACCGTTTAAACCCACTAATTATATTCAACCGAGCTTTGCGAAAGTAACGTCTAAGGGCTGCATCCGCATCCACCCTCCCTAACCGATCTTGTAGTGTTTTAGCAGGGTAATTACCCTAAGCCGTGGTGTAAAAGAGACGTATATACTCCGAAAACAATCTCTTCCTGCTTACGTCGTATTAAATGAGCTAACCCTGTTCCCAAATTAATTGCCTTGCTTTAATTGAAGATAAATTGGCTGCTTCTAAATAGAATGCGTAATTGTTATTGATGAATTGTGCGAGATCGCAGGGGGTAACCGGAAGAAATCTGCTCTAGTTTCTGGAGACACTTAGAAACAGTCAACTGTGATGATGAAAGCGGAATACAAAGAAAATAGTCTCCTCAAATTAAGCTTGGAAAACATGCTAGCTCAGATCTTTAAGAAAAAACATGCTACCTACCTCACACAAAATTAAATTTGACTAGAAATTTAAGTTGGCTGCATTGGCGTTGAAATGCACATTGTTTGATTGAACCCATGCACTTATAATAAATTTATATAATATATTTTTCAAAAAGTAAGGAATATTTATGTTCAGGAACACTGTTTATTTTTGGGATACCCGTTACGCAGCTGCACTAGCGCCATCTAATAGTCACCAGAGCTAATTCTTTGTAAACCAATAGGGCTATCTGCGGATAACACTTTAAATTTTATTTAGAATAAATCGACACGTTACTACGTAAACATGCTGTCTCAAATTTACAATTAGCTTGGAAAACATGCTATCTCAAATTAAGCTTAGAAAACATGCTAGCTCAGATCTTTAAGAAAAAATATGCTATCTCAAATTAAGCTTGGAAAACATGCTAGCACAGATCTTTAAGAAAAAACACAAAATTAAATTTGACTAGAAATTTAAGTTGACTGCATTGGCATTGATATGCACATTGAATGATTAAAACTACATTACTCGACGCTTTATGATTTTTTCATACAGGTTTGCTTTGATATAAAAATTGATAGCGCTCTCTTATTTTTATTTTATTATAAGTGCGCGGTTTCAATCATTCAATGTGAATTTCAACGCCAATGCAACCAACTTAAATTTCTAGTTAAATTTAATTTTGTGTAAGGTAGCTTGTTTTTTCTTAAAAATCTGAGATAGCATGTTTTCCAAGCTAAATTTAAGACAGCATGTTTTCGTAGTAACGCGTCCATTTATTCTAAATAAATTTTAAAGTGTTATCCGCAGATTGCCTAATTGGTTTACAAAGAATTAGCTCTAGTGACTATTAGATGGCGCTAGTGCAGCTGCATAACGGGTATCCCAAAAACATCGGGGACCCTCGATAATTTATCGGGATTCGGTTCTATCAAAAAAAGCTTAAAAAGAAACACATTTTCTGACTTTGACCTTAAGTTTCAAGGTCAAACTAAGGTCAATTTGAAAATATTAAATAGAAGATTTTGTTTTTATACCAGCAATGGATAAAGCGCCAAACACAGCTAAATATCGGGACAGAGAAGTTTTTCTGTATGTCCTTGCAAGTCATTTGAAGATCAAATTCATTTGTATATGAACAACTTCACAAAAAAGTTTCAAGCAAAATTAGTGAGTAGAATTTTGAACGACTAATTTCTTCTATTTTGTTTTTAATAATTTCTATCTTATACCTAACCTACATTTCCATGCAGTCAACACAACCATAAAAACTGTCTATTCCAATTTTGTAAAATCTGATTTTGGATGATCATCCATCTAACCACAACAATCCGGGAGAAAATAAATTATGAATCAAGTAGACTCATTAATTTACAGCAATAGAGTACGGATTTGGAAGGAACAGCCGACAATAAATCTTAATTATTCGAAAAGCTACAAAATTAATCCGCCCTTGAGTGACACACTGCGTCTTTCACACACATCACTTCGGGACCATTTCACGAACATAGGCCGATTATAGACTTCAACGGCGCAATCTGAAACATCCCTCCTTCACAGGCGACATTTATCCTTCCTTCTAAACGAGGATTATCAGAATCGAACCGTCAGCTAAGCCTGTTGTAAGGAGCACTTCATTCTGTGACTTCGCTACCTCCTTTGTTCCACCCTTTGTAAGGAAGTAGTATCGTGTTTCGAAAATGAGTAAATGTTTACGATGTTCTACAAAAACAGTAGTTTTGCGACCTTTTTGTTGCAAAAAATGCTTAAATATATCTAGAAGAATTTTCAAAAAAATATCACACTATGAATTTCCGAAATTGTTACAAACAGGTGTTCCAAAAAAAACTGATAATATATATATTTTTATTGTCATTCGATAATACATACTCAACTATTAAAAAAATTGATACTTTATTTTAGGAACGATAAACATTTCTGAATATTTAATTAAGATTTACTTAATTTTTCATTTTTTAATAATAATTTACTATATTATGCATTTGTATTTAATAATTATTTTTAAAAAATAACGCAATATTTCGTGTTTCTACTAAGTAACAAAACCTTCAACGGCAATTTGTATTATTTGGGCCACTGTATAACAATGAGTAGCAGCACTAGCGCCATCTAATCTATAATTGAGCTAACCAGTTATTTGTAGATCAATTGTATTGATGGATAGAGAAATCTGCAAGTCATAAATGCAAAACCTCAACTTTAGTTTCATTTCTATTCTTAAAATTCTATTCCAAATTAAATAGAAACTTGCTATTTCATAATCGGTCCAAAACCAGAAATTTTAATGTAAGTGCTACAATGTTTTTTTCTTTGTATGAGGAAATTAAAATCAATTAATTCATATTGCAACTTGAATGTGTCGTAAAATAGTAAGTTCTCTATTGATTGAACAATGTAGCGACATCTCTATGCAGATAGATTAAATATACAATTGCAAATTTAGCTTAGCATCTAATAATCATTCAAAATCGATTTGTTCTAAGTCATTAATGATAAAATGTTTTATATCTGAATATCAGAATACCTACTAATATTTTTAATGTTCGGAATTTGTTAGATATAAAGAAAACTATTTTCAAATTGTCCCCATTCTGTAATGCTTGGTTCTGCTCCACACTTTGACACTTTACAGAATAAACAGAACATTGAATCGTTTGTTAGCATATTTTTGCAACAAAACATGAAATCTAACCTACGAAAAGTGCTGTTGATAAACATAATCGATGTAAAATTATAATTTACGCCATGGAAAGCATATACGATCCAAAAACGTTTAAAACATCGGATCATTTGGCACTGGATGATTATTTTAAATCATATGGGGAAATCTGTCATTTTGCTGAACCTATCCCTAGATATAATTGCATATTTCTTGAAAATGATGATGAATACCTAGAAAGAATCCAACATGAAATGAATATAGACATTTCTAGAGAGGAATTAAGGATATTAGCAGCAAACTGCAGGTAAACAGAAAATATATCGTCTTGACATTTTTGTGTATGCAGTACAATTTCTTTTTCAGTTTAAGTACGCTTACCTTGAGCGATGAACCGAAGAATGTGATAAGGGAAGTTCCAGATAATTTGCATACGAGAAGTAAACTTGACAATGTATACCCGACAAATAACAGTGCGAGGCAGTTGAATGTTATAATGTGTTTAGGAGTGTTAGAAAACAAGTATGATCTAACTACCGATTTTAAATTTGGAAACAAAAGATTTATAAAAACAACGACAGTGGTAAGTAACGAATATATTGTTACTAAGACAACTCTATCCTAATTTATTTTTTCAGTCTTCAAACCAATCAGTCTCATGCAATATTATGCCAGGCACCAATTTCATTTATTCGATTATAGTATACAAGCCATACTCTATAAATTATTCACAAAGGAATTCCGGAGGTAAATTACGATTCGCCTTCGAAATAGAAGCACTAGGTACGAACACACTGGCAGAAGTCGCAGATAAAATTTATTGTATTTTCAACACGGGACTTTTCAGAGAAGTTGAAAATACCAAAGTAGATCTCAAACCTCTCATGAACGCCAAGGTAACACCCTCTCACTACTACCTCTCTCGTACATGCCTAACTTTAAATTTTCCAGGCACATTATCCGTCTCAGTGTATTTATATCGATGGAGTGTTGTATAATGATTTTCGTTCCCCGAAAGCCATTGACTGCTCGGCGAAAATTATCGAGTGGGCCAATGATAAGAATATTGGGAAGTTCAAGTCGGAACTGATGGAAAAGGTGAGTCAGTTTTATTAGTTACTGTAAAATGTTACGGTTTGTAACGTTTCTAAGGCACATTTCTGAATATTATTCGGTTTATGTTCGAAAATCTTGAGCCATGTATATTTGTTTGTTTTTATTGCATTTTAATATGTTTTGCGAAAACATTATCATGAAAATGATGTGCCGCAATTTGATCCCTTTTATTGGCATTATGCGTACATTTTGACAGTTATAAGACAGATGTAAACAATAATCCACGGTAATAAGAGTGTTACGAAAACCACAATAATAAGAGTGCTACGGAAACCTAAATCTAAATATTTTGTTACAACTTTTTTGATATCGGTTCTGTTTTTTAATGTAGATTTTGGTTTTTTCAAACTTTTTTTTAGATATGTTTTATGCCTTTATATTTTTCATACTTCCGATTCAATCAATACTCTGTTCTGTACTTGACATTTCACTATCGGGCAAGTAATTTATATAAATAAATGAATAAAATTCGCAAACAAGGTTCCCTCTCTCATTCCGTTCTCTTTGCTTCAGACGGCACTCAACTCTTTAAAGCCGAGACTAGGTTATCCCTACGTTTATATGCACCAAGGCAATTGCGAGCATCTCTTTACCTTTTCCGACGCCAGGCTGTTGCAACCCGGCGACTGCCTCAACTCCAGGAAGTACCCTAGGGTCACGTCGACAAATCGTGTGAGCAACATCCTCTGCTTCATATGCAACGTGATGAATGCGCAGTGGATAGTCTTGGAGTGTGCGAAACTCCCGCACGAGAAAGTGTATCTGTGTACGGAATGTTGCAACTCGTATCTGTTTGTGGATGGAAAGAAAGTGACTGAGTTCAGGTTGTATCCGTACTACGATCAGGAGATGCTGACCAAGCATCTGAGTGGTGTCGTCGTCGAGTAGTTTTCTGTTACACGTTTTAATAAATGACTTTTCTTAGTTTGAGTATGATTTCGTTACCTGTTCTTGGATGCTATGAGTGTGTGAAAAGCAACTTTAACTTTTAAAACAGGAGGTTTCAAATAATTTATTGTTAGGCAACATTAAGTTACCCATACGTGTATTACGTGCTGCCTACTTCAACCATAGACATCTTAAAAAGGAATAGATGACAATTGTTACAAAATTCTTGTAACTCTTCGAACACTATGTGAGGGAGTCAACAGACATGCGCGAATGGCGAGTTGTAATAAAAATTGTGAAATACAAGGACCGCGTGATAAGTTTAGTATACGAGGGATGTATGATTAATTATAAAACAATTCTTCTTACAACCTTTCACAAATCATTTTAAAATTCATAATGTGCTGAATTAGATTAAGTTTAAATATAAATAGAAGATGAATAATTTACACTATAAGCTCCACTTTGAATCTCATTTTTATTGTTAACTGCAGAATGTGTTATGGATTCAATAGTTTTTGGTATGCCTTTATTTTGGGAATGTTCATGGGGAAAACACGAAAACACGAAAATAAGTAATGAAAAATAATGAAAACTTTTAAATGCAAATTTTAAGACTAATTTTAGGTAAAACTAGTAAAAATCCTAATCATTTTCGAGATAAAACTTGTTTTTTATGTCATTGCAACTTAAATAGAGAAGAATTTGGGATTCGCAGTTTATTTAAAATAATTTATAGTATTTTAATTATTGAAAAGTAATTACATTTACATTTTTTTATTATTATTTTGCTTTTACGTTTTGTTCTAAAAGATAAGCCTCTTCACAATACTTTTTTTAACATCGAAACGGGTCGCTACATCTACAGGAATTTAAATATTTTTCGCTTGAGCTATATCAAATTCAAAATGAATTAAACGATTCTTTATGCTGTGACAGAGCAGTAATAAAATGTTTGTAAACTGATTTTGTTGGGCTGGAGTTTCCATCAGTATAAAAGACATATAGAAAGGCAAACATATAAAAGAAATCGGTTCTTACAGCTGCCGTTCTGGGTATTTTTATTATTTGATGCCACTAACTTCTCACACAAATGTTAAACTCTCCTATTGATGGTTGCATATCAAAATGCTCAACTTATTTCAAATCTAACGTAACAAGTTATACAGGGTGATTCAGAACTTCAGAAACAAATCTGGATGTACAGGGGACTCCTACAAATAAAATTTTGTATGAAAAAATCAAAAAGGGCAGTTCGAAAATGATTTAAAAATACACTTCTGTACGACACTGGAAACTGGTCCACTGTAAAACCTAACCTGGCATAATGCGACCGTCACGGCGGCAGTAATAAAAACGGCCAAAAAGGAAAGGAATGAATAGAATTTTATAGCACCTATCAACAAATCCAACTGATTTTGCCGCTATTGTTAATACTAATTAATAAAATTAATTTGTTTTTAAAGAATAAAATAATTTGACATACCTTGGGTCCGTCTTACTCTGTTTCTACGAACTAACACAAATTCTGTCTTGTTTCACCATAAGACAAATGCTTCATCATAATTCAAAGTAAATGTTTTCTTGCTTCGGCATAAATGAAAACGATAATCCATAAACTCGGAGTTGCTATACACACAAACCATTTTTGACACTAGCTACTAAAAAACTATTGTAAACACTATGGCAACGACAACTGTAAAATCGGATTTCAGTATTCGGAGTCGCTGAGGCCACGTGGCTCTCCACGCGTATTACGAATGACGCTAGAGACTACAGTTGTCCTACTATGTAATAATTGAAAGTACTACAACTTCAATAATTTTTTTCTCGAAAACTATAAGGATTTACAATTTTTTTTTATAATATTGACTCCGTTTCTCATGCCGCATATATTCTCAAAGTTTGTTGGATAAGTTGTGAATCACCCTGTAGGTAGGTGTATGAAGAACTAATAAGATTTAAACAGCTGGTGAGCGCAAAATGTATACTATTTTTGAAAGTCTTAACTTAACAACAACGTATTTACTGAAATTTTCCATAAAATGATTTCTGTATATTGAAAAAGAACATTTAGTCATCAATGAATGACAGTCGTTTTATGTTAATCTCAGAGTTCTGCCTTTGAACTCTTAATAAAACACCGTATATTTAATCACAAGTAGGATAAAAATACGCAATTGTGCATTCAGTTTTTTTTAATAACTGGAATTTGTTTCTTTTGTTCATTTATCAAATTAAATTTAACAGTAAGTTTGTTTATCGTAACAAAGTTCAAATATTATGTGGATATTAACAACAGTACAATTTAAACATGGGTACGTACTTTTTAAATAATGTTTTAAAGTATTGAATTATGTATTTTTTTTAAAGTGCCAGCGCCTAAGTGGTGTAATATTATCCTGTGTGATCTGGTATTCAGGTATGTTATTGAAAAGCGAAAATTATGTTGAAAGGACGCCGAGAACGAGAAAACAACGCATAAACCGTTAATTATCAACTTTTAAGTAGGTCAATCGTCGATTTAAAATTCCCCGCTAAACAGAAAATAAATACCTAGTTCCTAGGCTGCAAATATTTAGTTTGCTATTTTCTAAATCTTCAATCATCGCGGTAGAATTTATTTGCAAATTTAGAAAAAGTTACCGTAAAGAAAAATAATCGCAATTGTGATTAAGTTCTCAACAGATCCAAAACTAATCGCCAGACTTCAAAAAGTTATAGTGAATTAAATCCAAGATAAATTTATTTTCAATAAATTTACCGTTTGGAAGTATATGATGTTTAAAGTTAATGGATTAAATGTACAGGGTGATCTGCTTTAAGTCTAGCTATCCCCATAATTAACGTACCATACTAAGATACCAGTTTTTAAAAATTAGTTTGTCTGTTTTTATTGCCGAGTTTTTCTGCTGTTTCGATTTAATTTTCAGTCGTCCTCAGAACTGTAAGAGGAAATGTACACATTTAGACAAAGGAATATCTGCATAAGAAAATGTGTAGTACGTTGTCAATTAATGCTATTCTACAATGATACTTGATGCGAATTGTTTAAGAAATTTCGCTAATAACTCCTTACAAATATTTATTCGAATCGTACTTCATTGTTATCGGCTTGTGAGCACCTCGACTACAGACATGTCATTACAGAAAACTTTTTATTTGTGTAACTACTCTTTGTCTCTCAGTTCCTACTAACAGAAGGCACAACTAAGGTATAGTCTAACACGTTCCGCTAAAGATTAATTTCCACATTTTTTTAATTGACAGTTAAATAACTTGCAAAAATAAAAAAAAATATGGGTAAGTTTTGTGCTAGATTGTTTTATTTTGTGGTAATATCTGAAAGGTGGCCAACACCCCATTTAATCAATTACAATTATCAGGTATTATAAAACTTCTTACTAATATAATTTTTATTGTATAACATCATATAATACAGGGTGTTTCTTAATAACGTGCTAATATTTAAGGAGGTTATTCTTGGGTCCATTTTAAGAAAAAAAACTTCATATGAACATATGTCCTAAAAGTCTTAATTTTTGAACTACAGGGTGCTAAAGTTTTATGAATAAACTTTTTTTTATGATAACTTTGGTATTACCCCATGTAGATATTTTTTTAAATTTTGGGACACGCCTTCTATTCATCGAGATGCATTTTCTGATGTACAAACAATTTTATTATTTTTGCCAGTGGCGTCTGTACAGATTTTGGATTGAATATTTTTGAAGAAAAATATGTTACGCCAGGGTAATTTTCTTTTACCATTCTAAAATGTATGTAGATTACTGTAATTTCATAATTTAAATGTTTAAAAGTTAGTATCTTAAATAAATTATTGTTCAAAGTTACATTTTTTTTCTCATAAGTGGTTCAATAAGATGCAAATGAATGAATTTTATTTTTTTATGCGAAAACCGTACGTCATACGAAAAAAATTCAAGACACCACATTTGCTCAGAAAGGAATGGGATTTCAAAAATGATTTTTACTTAAAGAAAAAGCAGTGGCGTAACATATTTTTCTTCAAAAATATTCAATACAAAACCTGTACAGACGCTATTGGCAAAAATAATAAAATTGTTTGTACATCAGAAAATGCATCTCGATGAATAGAAGGCGTGTACCAAATTTGAAAAAAATATCTAGGGAGGTAAGCCAACGTTATAATAAAAAATAATGATTTTTTCATGAAATTTTAGCACCATGTAGTTCAAAAGTTAAGACCTTTAGGACATATGTTCATATGAAGTTTTTTTCTTAAAAGGGACCCAAAAGTAACCTCCTTAATTAACGAGCGTTCAAATAAAAACGTGGTCAAGTTGGTTCTGAAAATTTGGACGTAGGGCGTAGCGTATAACAAATGAACATAAACGTCATCTGTCAAAGCGCTATATCGCCGCTATCAATTTGAATATTTTCGTTTTAAAAAGCGTTTAAAATGGTGTTTTCTCAAGAACAAAAAGTGTTTATCATAGAGTCCTACTTTAGAAATGGACGCAAGATTGATGGAATATGGAAGTATTCTATTGAGGAATGTTTCATAGAATTTCAAAATCAATTTCCCGGCGTTGTTGAGTACAAAATTTTTCAAAGTGCAGTTCAGCGTTGTGTTAATGTTTTTCGTGAAACGGGCAGTGTAACAAGAAAAGAAGGAAGCGGCCGACCTAAAAAGCGGACTGAAGAATTAAAAGAAAATGTCCAACAAATAATGGAAAATGCGCCAAGAACTTCTGTACGTGTTTTATCACAAATGGTGGGAGTATCAGTCGGTACCTGCCACACAGTGTTAAAAAAAGATTTGCGTTTGTTCTCCTATCGTTTAACTTGTCAGCAAGAACTTCATGAAGTTGATTTTCCGCGACGGGCTGTATTTTGTGAATGGTTTTTAAACAACTACGGTGAACTTCATAATATCACCTTTTTTTCTGATGAAGCCTGGTTTCATTTAAGTGGTTACGTAAACTCACAGAATATGAGAATGTGGTCTTCTGAAAAACCAGATAACTTTTTTGTCGAGGGCCCTCTACACGC